TCAATAAAAACGACATCAGGGTATCTTTCCGTAGTCTCAATAAATTGAACAAGTACATCAAAGTACAGAAAGATATTTGTCCACATACATCGAAGAACAGTGGTCTACAGGATTTCGTGTGGTGATTGTGATGCTTCATACGTGGGACAGACGAGCAGAAAATTAAAAACCAGGATTGCTGAACAATCACATTAGATACAACTCTTCTGGGCGTTCTGTCATAACTGAACTTAGGAGACAGCTGGATCAAAAATTTCAATGGGACGAAGTCGTAATTTTAGACGAAGAGCCTTATTATCGGAGACGTTTGGTTTCCGAGATGCTTGATATTATATCAGGAAGCAGAAGAATGGTCTCAATTTACAAACTGACACCGATGGCCTCCACAAGGTTTGTATTCCCATTATAAATAAAGTTTGTCTTTCTAATACTAACAGTCTGTCTCCTCTCTCAGTCTGTGTTGATCCGCACTACTGAACGTATGTAGTGGCCGGCGCGTAATGTCTGTCTTACACATCTGCGTTCTGTCTGTATACATTCCAATAGTTCTTTATACCTTTTTGGACACACACGTTCAAATTTTTTTACATATGATTTCTGATGAGTTTTGATTATATTTTTTATTATTTTTCCGGTTGATTTTTTTTTTATTAGATTTCCGGTATGTTAATTCATTTACGCGTAGATCTTTTTGAGTACAATTTTTAAGTTTTCCTTTTTATCAACTAGAGCTTTGCCAAGATTTTTTAATACATTTAACGGTTCAATTGTACGGAAATAATGTCGAACTCTACATCAAGATGCGATCATTTACAATAATTGATTTTATTCTGCGATTTTTTATGTTAATGTCTGAAGAAGGCTCAATCCGGTAGTTGAAACTTGTAACGTTATGTAATTTTATCTATTTTAATTGAAATATATTCTTTTGTTACTTTCAAAGAAACGTGTTGACTCTTACTTTGCCCGTTACTTATTATCATTTGATAATATTAGGTTGTTCGGAAAGTAATTTCGTTTTTTCTTATGAAAATGAAAGACGATTTTCAATCAGACGCGTTTCAAATGATCATGAACGGTCGAATTCGATAAATTTAATCTCTCAGCGATCTCACGAGTTGTTATTCGCCGGTTTGCATCAATTAATGTTTTTATTGTGTCTTCATCAGCTTCAACTGGCCTTCCAGAACGTGCTGCATCTTCAACATCAAAATTGCCGGATCGAAATTTTGCAAACCAGTTTTGGCACTGGTGTTCTGTTAATACATCTTCTCCATACACATCGGATAATTTTTTTCTTGCTTGAACAGCATTTTTACCTTTTCGATAGTAAAAAAGTAAAATATGCCGAAAATGCTGCTTTTCACTTTCATATTTGATAGGGCACCAACCAAAAACAACTGCGTAGGATCAATCGAACTTTGTTCACAAGCAAACCTTGCTATATCAGCTGTGAAAATATATAATGATTATGCGGCTTAAGTATGAAGTTGGCTGTGAAAAAATACAATAAGTCCTCTGTTGGGAAAAAACGAAATTACTATCCGAACAACCTAATACGAGGTCTGGCTATTAAATAACGAGACTGCTTATGAAAAAGAGTTTTATTTAAAAAATTATTCTACAATTGAATGCTCCCCTTCAATGTACTCCCCTCCCCTCGCCACACACCGTTCCATTCGTTTTTTCCATTGGTCAAAGCAATGCTGGAAGTCTTCTTTTGTAAGAGCATTTAGGAGCTCCGCCGATTTTCGCTTCATCTTTTCCATCGACTCGAACCGGGTTCCTTTTAAAGCAGACTTGATCTTCGGAAACAGGAAAAAGTCACAGGATGCTAAATCAGGCGAGTACGGCGCGAGTTCGAGCACTGGAGTGCCTCTAGCGGCTAAATAACGCTTCACAAACAGCTCGTTATGGGCAGGTGCGTTGTCCTGGTGTAAGATCCACGACTTGTTTTTCCACAACTCCGGCCGTTTCTTACGAACTCGCTCTCGCAGTGTTGCCAAAACTGTCAAATAGTAAGTTTGGTTTACAGTTTGACCCTCTGGAACCCATTCAGTCATCACGATGCCGTTGATGTCGAAAAAAACGATTAGCATGGCTTTAAATTTTGATTTCGACATCCTTGCTTTTTTCATTCTTGGCGATGCAGGAGTTTTCCAGTGCATGGATTGCCGCTTAGTTTCAACATCGTATTGGAATATCCAGGTTTCATCGCAAGTGATGATGTTTTCCATCAATTCAGGCTCTTCATCTAACCTCTCAAGAAAATCTGAGCAGATCTGTTGACGGACGAGCTTTTGGTCAGGGGTCAAATTTTTTGGGACCAACTTCGCACAGACTTTCTTCATGTTTAATTCGTCATGTAAAATTTTTCTGACAGTTTCTTTATCGGCGTTTACAGTCTCAGCAATCATCCGAATGCTCATACGACGATCTCCGCGCACAATTTCATTGATTTTGGTCACTGTTTGCGGAGTTGAAACAGAGACAGGTCGACCTGGACGTTGGTCATCTTCGGTGCTCTCTCGGCCTTCAGAAAACCGTTTATACCATTCGAAAACACGCGCACGAGATAGAGAATTCTCACCATAGGCCTCTTTCAACAACTTATAGCACTCAGTCGAATTTTTTTTTAATTTAACGAGAAATTTCACATTGATCCGTTGCTCGTGTTTTTCGTCACACATTGTTATCGGCACGAGAAAAAAACAAGTTCGTTTCTAACCTCTATAGAAAAAATACTACTACTGCGACAAAAACGTGTTTTCGTACTGGAATAGTAGATACTTCCAGCTATCCAACGCTGCATTCGTTTCCCACCCTACCCCTCTACGACGCCTTCTGCGTCTCGTTATTTAATAGCCAGACCTCGTATTGATTGCAGTTCTAAATCACCTTATTATGATGATTGATTTTCTCAGTATTTTTAATTCATTACACTTGAGAATACAATTTACCTTGGAGGTTGATGAAAGACTGAATTTTCTCGATGTCGCAATCGTTAATTTTAATTGTAAATTAGAGTTTAATGTTTTTCACAAACTAACCTTTTCAAGCCGCTACCTTAACTTTTTATTTCTTCATACTCTTTCTAAAAAAAAGGGGTGTTTTGATCAACATGGTGGACAGAGCATTTTTATATGTAGTTTATAAGATTGGTTGTAAAAATTGCAACGTGCCTCATATGTAGGACAGACTAGTAAACAGCTGAATACTAGAATTAAGGAACACCGAAATAACATTAACAAAAAAACTGGAAATCCGTCAGTCATCTCGGAAGATTACAATTCAAATATGAATTTGATTTTAATACCAAAATATTAGATAACGAAAGATCTTTAGAGAAAAGATTTCGGAAATGCTCAATATCAAGTTCCAAGAGAATGTAATAATTTAAATACGCAAAACGATACTGAATTTTTACATCATGTATTTAAATTTCTTAACAAGTTTTGAAATCACATTACGTTATCATTAAAAAAAAAATTTTTTTATAAAATATGGTTTGACATTTAATATTAATTTAATGATAAAATTTGAATTGTTGACCTATCAAAATTACATTGTGTTATTATATTTTTTAATTTATGACTTTTGAATATATATACATAATATAGACTACCATACGTTTGACTATCTACATAATGTACATCGAAGATTCACGTTTCTTAAATATTTATTTATTCTATGACTTTCTTTTACATTCAATATTATGTTTCAATGCTTATTTATGTAATGAACTTAGTTCGATATTGAAGTACATAACCGTACCGAATGATTTATTTCTTAATTTTCGTTTTTGATACATTATTATAATGTTCTCCAGTCAAGGAGTACAGTAGATAAGTCTTTTTAAGATTCATGTTCCTCTTCACAACTGTCTTTCGCTAATTCATTATTTTTCTTTAATAATCATTTAGCAGTACAGTTTTTTGGTACTTACTCTCTAAATTTGGAATTAAGAGATTCTCCTTATTACATTCTTCGATTTAATACATTACATTGATGTTAACCAAGAACACACGTAATTATTTCATCGCTGAAAATGGCTTGAATGGAGCTGAAACGTTCGATCGATTTATCATGTAAGAATTGAAATATACTTGTACTGTTAAGATCAAATGCACCAACTACTGCGCTCTTACTGCTCTCAATCGCCCGGAAAATTTTAATTAATATTTGTTTTACATAGCAGTAACATCAAACTAATTAATTTTTCCAATAATTATCTGAATAGTTTTTCCAATAATTTAATAAAAGTTCTCAATAATTCGCCAACAAATTACAACTGAATAATCAATAGTTTCATTAATGGTTCATTTCCATAAAGTTGGGTCAGGTCGGCTCACCCGATTAGTCCATATGACATATATACCCATACAGCACCAATAGTTGCAAAAAACTTTCAGTAAGGTTTTAAAATTATTTCGATCTTTCACATTTTATGTGTAACAATTCTGAAAGAATTTTACAATATGTCACATGGAATGTTGCAGCAGGAATGTTTCTGAAATTGTTCACATAAACATAATTTTACAAAACCTTCAGAGAAATCGATTCGATGTCGATTTCATCATCTCTTACTGGGCAAATGTAGGGTGTAAACTAGATCTATATTATTGACCTCGATCAAGTTCGGCCGTCGCTTCAGCATCCCCTTAGTGTTAAGAGGAAATATTGAGATATGAAAAGAAATAATAAGATATATAAGCGTATAATAAGAATCTGATTTTAGTTCTCATAAATCTTTTATGACCATTGAATTTATCTTAAACATCAATAGTCAATTTTTTTAAGTAAGTATTTCTTTATCGTTAGTGCAACAAATTGTTTTTTCAATAATTTTGCATAATAATTGATTTTTAATATCCTATGACATTATAAAAACATAATTTACTAATTATGATAGCCTAATATAGCTGGGAACATAATAAAACTTTATATGCGTGTGTTTTTTAATATCAATATATTTTAATATCAATACATTACTGTAAACATTACTCTTCTAAATCCATCATTAAGTTCAAATTGATTATTTTTCTCAATGTCGTGCCAGCATCCGGTGTTACATCGTATTCTGCGATGAGCGACATATTGTCCCAATGAATTTGTTCCATTGCTGAATTGCAAAAGACGGATAATAATGGAACGTATTGCTACATATAAGAAAAATTAATTTAAAAGATATATATATTACGTAAAATAATGAATATAATATCGTATAATATTAAGTTAATGCAAGAAGACTTACACATACACATTTTTACTGTTCTTTATACAATATATATTGCAATTAATATTTTTTAAAGTTTTTACAAATAATATTTATTCGAAATGAAATTAACTCAACAAGAAATATTTTCAGATATTCTGTTCTCATTCGCAATACCGATAATTGGGCAAGCACGAATGAGCGTGCCACTCTTTTCGCAGAATTAACAAAGATTTAATTCAAAATATAAAAATATCTAAAGAATTGCGAACGCTGACGGCCGACTCTGATAGCCGATTGCTCAGCCATAATGGTAGAGGGACGGTTCGTGGTCGGGAATGGAGGATTTTAGAGAACTAGCAAGATAATGCAGCAATAAAATATCCAGAATTTGTAACAAAGAATAGTAACAAAGATATATTCTTTCAATCGTTTACAATGTTCTGTACACGCTAACAATTTAATGGTTATACGTGATACAAAGCATTACTAGGACAGTATTACTTTCCAAACTATGTCCTTAACACGCAATATCAAATAAAGATTTCTCTCGGCGATACGAGCTCATGAAAAATGGAAAGTAATTCTGCGAGCAGTTGAAACAGTAATTAAAGAAATTAGCCCTAATACATATAATGATCACAATGATAGTTGACTTAATGTAAACAAAATTTGATCTCGAGTTTGAGAATACGCGAGAATAACGAGAACTATCACAACGAAAAATCTACAGAATTTTAGAACATGTGAGAATATTACACGAAATCTAACAAAATCTCGAACATGAAGACGCGATGCAAAAATGTAATTCAATACAATACAGAGTAACTGCGCTGTGGCCGCGGCGGGTGGGTAAATAATTGATTGATTCGAAATTAGCAAAATAATCTACATGAGTGAGTCACCCATGAGTGAGTTGGACCCGAGTGACAATTTTAATTGGTCGCTATTTTTATACGGTTAATATTGCAGAGTTAAAGTGATGGAGTAATAAAACTTGGAAAATCTTTCTTTGTCAATCGCCATGATGCAATTGTTTCATTGTTATCTTGATGCTAATACAATTTTTGATGATAAAATAAAAGTTTGGGTGATTTGGATCCGTCAAATGTAAATTCGACGGATTTTTGTCAAAAGTAAAAATTTATTTTCAGTAAATGCTTATTTATTAGTGTTGTATTCAAGTATGTGTTGTCTTCTTAATAATAAAAAATATTCATTGTCAAAAAAAGCATTTTTGCGAGAGAGGCGTCTTGGCAAAACGGTACGCTCTATATTATAGAAGCTATAAAATTATGTGTAAATAATGTCAAAATCATCACATATTTAAAATAAAATATTTTCATAGCATTTTTAAAGAAAAAATATCAGACATACCTCCGATATCATTATTCCGAGTATGAATAAAAATGTCCCTACTTCACTCGTGTAAATAATTACACTTTTTGGAATAAATCAATATAACGTCTTTTTTAAAGTTCACATTTTCTTCTTTTTAAAACATTATATATTTTTATTTGTACCTTTTTTTATAATAAAGATATAATTTTTTGAAAAAAATTGATTATAGTATTCTTTTCACAAATTGTTCTTTAATATTATTACGTCCAAGCTCTGCATGCATGGAGTTGAGGCGATAAACGCAACAGAAATCGAATTATTAGATCGATTTGGTCGTGTCCAGGCTTCGAACCGTAAAGCAGTTGTAAGGAAGGACCGACGCAAGTCGGGAGGCATTTCGTTTTGTCCTGAGGCTTCTAACGAGCCGGAGATTAAATGAAGGACGAAGTGGAAACTTCAACTCGTGCTCTACTAAGCAGATTTACGAGTCAAACGTACTTTTAGTTTTAAAAGGCCCAGACTGAATCAATGTGCCACGAGAGTGCACTTTAACGCCAGTACGCTTTGGCTTTCATGCAACTTAATACAAGTTGACTGGCTAGAGGGCGAAGTGCAATCACGGGAAAGCTTACAATAAATACAAGGAGAGATTTTCAAATAAACAAGCGAGGATTAAATTTAATAGTAATATAATTAAAGAAATAACTTAGCAATACATTTCTGTTAAGTTATAAAACCCTTCTTTGGTTCTTTATTCTAAAAAATATTACCGTATGGATTTATGTATGTGTAAGTGTGTGTGTGGAAAGAGAGTTAGGTGCTGACGTTATTTTGAGTGCGGAGAGTTTGGAAAGAAAAGGAGAACATTAAATGTGTAGACTCATCTGGTTGAAGGAAAAGAGGATCGATGGGAATGAGAGATGGCATGGGGACTGAAAAAAGGCAAGTGGATTCTGCAATGTTAACTATCACTTAGTCGTTAGTGAAAAGAATAAAGTAGGACATGTAGTCCAACAATTGAGGCGTTATGAAAAAGGAAGGGAAGGTGCCTAGCGGGAGAGTAAGCGTCAGTTTGAACAGAAGGAATTGAGGGGGTGATATCTGAGACGGGAAATTCCTCAATCGGAAGTAGTGATATTGGATGTGAAACGGGAAGAAGACTGGACTGGAAGAGGTCATCAAAAAAGTCTGGGGACAGGGGAGTAAGAAATTTCTAGTAGCGGTGATATGGTCGAGATTGAAGGCTGAACGATCGGAGTTTGTTCTTGGATGTCTGAATTAGCGGAGATTGTTCTTGAGAGTTTTTTGCGGTGTTAGAGCGGTGGGTTGGAGCGCATTGTTAGTCTCCGCTAGGTAACGGTGACGAGGGATGGAAGAATTACGTGAACGCACTAAAAATTTGGTTGTTTTTAAAGACAAATCACATAAAAAGAGAAGGGAATCACCTTGTGTATTGCAGTGGAATCAAAAAATTACTACTTGGCGATAGCGATGTATAGGGTTCTCCGAGAAACTATCAAACAGGGTGCCGTCAACTGTGAGATGCTGGGCGTTTGGTCCACTTTCTCAATTTCCTCAGTCAACCAGTGTCGTTGATTCTAAGTTAATAGTATAGTTTTAGTAGATTGCGTAGACTTTATTGAAGAAAAGGGCTTCAAAAATCGGATGAAGCTTTTTTTAAAGGTCTCTATACAACTATAGTCTCTAAAACTTAGAGAAAATCACTCTGAACGCTGCGAAACCGTGATTTTTATACTAATCACCTCCAATTACTCAAATTCGAATTAGTGGAATAGGTTTCGTTAATTAATAGTGGGATTTTTCTTTGCTCTCGGATTGGTCAAGATTTTTGGGGAAAAAAGGATGTTGATCGGAGTCTGTAGTGTAGGAAGTGTTATCCTTAATTTTATGAAAACTTAATATTTATAAAAACGCACTTGCAGTGCATCAAGAAAGCGCACGAGCAGCGTCGACACGAGACCAACCCTTGAACGTCGCATGTCGTTTCTTAGATTTTATGATCATGGACTCGTAAGAATCGTCCACGATTTGACTATTAAAAAATATCTTGGCGCCGGTCTTATACTTCCAATGGCATATTTATTATTATTTTAGCCGCAGTGTCCGAGGGACACAGACTTGGTGTCTTTTTGATCCCGCCGTTTGGGTAATGTACGTGCATTGATTTTTAGTTTATCTCGGAGCGATATTTACGAGGAGATACTGGATTCTTTATTTTAGATTTCAATATGAGAAAATAAAATTATTTGTCTTTTCTAGGCTATAACGCTTAACTTGTTTGTTATTCGCAGCTGTCTCTTTAATTTAACAGATTCCAGATCTTCACGAAAAAAGAGTCGTGAGAGTCCGTTGTATGTAACAATATTTTTTGACCTAATTTTTTCAATTATTATCGAAACCTTTTTATGTTTTGATATTTCGTTTCTATACAGTTCGAAATATCATTAGAAAAAAAATATTTTGAGATTTGTAATTATTACAGAGCCAGTCAAAAACATCACGAGTGACTCGGACCCAGATATAAGGTGTAGTAAAAAGAAATCTATTATTTTTCCAATAGATGGCTTTAGTAATCTGTATCTCGCGTTGTATAAGTGCGATCGGGTTACGCCAAATGGCGTTAGAAAGATAAGATTTCGTACTAAAAAAACTTCTCAGACAGTTTTGTGATTGCTTGAGTCAGTATTGTTTGAGCGCGTGTCAAAGATGGACACCAACAAAGAGAAAATACGCCATATAGTTTTTCTTCGATAAAGGCGAAAACGCAAGCCAGGCGGCTGAAAATGTGAATAGTGTTTATGGTCCTGATACTGTAACAGTCAATATCGCGCAATTTTGGTTTCGTCGATTCCGTTCCGGTAATTTTGATGTCAAAGATGCACCACGCTCTGGAAGGCAATTGTCGAAAATGTCGATAAAATAATGGAAATCGTCGAGTCCGACCGTCATGTAAGCACTGTTTCGATTGCCCAGGAGCTAAACATTGCACAAAAAACCGTTTGGAACCATTTAAATAAGGCTGGATACAAAAAGAAGCTCGATGTATGGGTGCCACACGAGTTAACGCAAAAAAACCTCATGGACCGAATTTCCATCTGCGAATCGCTGCTGAATCGCAACAAAATCGACCCATTTCTGAAGCGAATGGTTACTGGTGATGAAAAGTGGGTCACTTACGACAACGTCAAGCGAAAACGGTCGTGGTCGAATCGCGATGAGCCGGCGCAAACGGTGGCCAAGCCAGGATTGACGATCAGGAAGGTTTTGCTGTGTGTTTGGTGGGATTGGCAGGGAATCATCTACTATGAGCTGCTTCCCTACGGCCAAACTCTTAATTCGGACCTGTACTGTCAACAATTGGACCGTCTGAAAGAAGCAATCGCCCAGAAGCGGCCAGCTTTGGCCAATAGGAGAGGAATTGTGTTCCATCAAGACAACGCCAGGCCACACACATCGATAGTGACTCGCCAGAAGCTCCGGGAACTTGGTTGGGAGGTTCTTATGCATCCACCTTATAGTCCGGACCTGGCACCAAGTGATTACCACCTGTTCCTGTCTATGGCGAATGATTTTGCTGGTGAA